GAACACCCTTGCGGGTTTTTTTCTAAAGGGTTAGGGGTGCGAGGGTCTTGTAACTTGACAGCTTTAAGACTTGCGTGCTTCAAACGCCAGAGTTTTTGGTTGCTAAGCAAGAGCGTTGTTAAGTGAGTTTCACCACATTTTACAAGTTGGCCACGCCCACCCAGTTACATGACTGCCAAGCCACTCCCATCCAGTCACATAACAGGCAAGCCACTCCCACAAAGCAGGCCACACCTACAGAAGAGGTTCTAAAAAAATTGAAACCCACCACTGCACAGAGTGTACGTTTGTGGGAGAATGGAAACTATTTGAATATTAAGTCATATTTCAAACAAATAGAAGCAAGCACTAAAAGCATATAGGTACATTTTAATAGTTTATATGTTGCATTTATGTAAGGCTTCACGAGGAAGTTAGTAGTAGTTACAACTAACTACAGTTGTAGTGTAACATTTAGCAGGTCCATTTAGCACATTCAAAATAGCAATTTGAGTCTATTTCAAAATTTTGTATTTTTATAATTAATTTATAAATTATTCATTTAAAATATTTTATAAATTAAACATATTTATAAATTATAAACATATATATATATATTGTAAACATTTATAAACTTAGTTTTTCTTGTTTGATTACTAACATTGTTTTCAATTTTTGCGGTTTTGCCCATGGAATGTTACCGAACCTGTCACATACGCTTGACCTGGCTTTGCAAACCCATAATAAAATGTTTGGAGACTGAGGTACTCTGACTACTCCTTAAAGAGACAAAACAAACTTCTTGAGAAGTGAAAGAAATCTTTAAAGACTAGTAATTCTCTCTTTACAGATTTTTATCCAACACTATTAAAATACAAACATGATTTGGGAACACAAATTTCTGCATGTCTTCTCAGAAATACATTCTATTGAGTTTAATGGAATCTATTTCCAGTTAAGAAGAACTCACCTAAAAGAGAGCATTAAACAAAAAATTAAATATTTCCATTTTGAATTCTCTACCACCTCCCCAGTCTAAAATGGATGTCCCGGATCATGTTCTGACTTTAAAGGAATGTTATGAAGCCAGCATTATTTCAGCAGGCCCCTTTCTCTGGATTCTGTGGCCCTTATAGAATTAGCTCTCCCACTCTAATCCCCAAAGCTTTGATCCTTATTTCCTTCTTCTGCAGTTCTCATTTTCGCTCCTTGCAGCTTTTCTGAAATGTCAAGAATGCAGCCAGGCCGCCACAAGCAAGGGTGGGTTGTTATTGCTACTTTGCTGTGACCTAGCAAGTCTGACCTGAGAAATTATGACAAGCTCAAAACAACTTACCGTTTATGCTGTGAACATGTGTATCCCTTGATGATAAAATTATCTTTTTGAGAGTTCAGGCACAAATCTAAAAAAAAAAAGGAAACTAATCAAAAAAGTAGGATCCAGGCAGTTGCCTTCTTTCCTCCTCGGTGATTTTTTTTGAAAAGGGACAGGACAACTGTGAGCTTCAAACTTTATCAGCCTTCTAAATATAACATCTCTAGGCACTGGCTGGCTGCTGGGTAATAGCAGGAGAAATGCCATGCCTGGTCTTTTAACTCTATCCTTTCAAATAAAGGAATAACTATCTACAAAAAGTTCCAAAGTTTCATGCCCCCCCCCCAAATTAATTTTATTATTTTTACATTCTTATGTCTGTTTACATGTGTCCCTTTGAGAATCAGGAACTAAAATTATTCTCTGGTTAAATATCGCCCTTTCCATCTGCCTGTTTCTCTTATTTTTAATGGGCTACTGCAGAAAAGCTAAGCCTCAAAAGGAAATGAGAAGTTGAATTGGGGAAAATAAGCAAAAGCTTTATGATACTTTAAAGATTAACGAATGGATTCTTGCAGTTGCTTCCTGGATTGCACCCACATAATGAGATACATGAAATGTTACCTAAGTGAGGAGGAGTGTTACACGTAGACACACAAAGCTATTTTTGTGGTTGAGGAAAGGAAACGAGGAAGAGAGAAATGCTGAAAAGAGAGGTGAGAGACATAATTATTTTTAGTTACTATAAAGCAGTGACGATTTTTGCACTAAAGCATAATAAGAAAGTCTGGTCTACAGTAGATTGGTTGGATAATTTCTACATAATATAAGGAATAGAGATCTGATATTATAATAATAGCCCCAAAGCAGTGTGGAATACAGAGTATTAGACCCCCAGTTTCAGAAATTAATAGGAAAGAGGTTGGTTGAAACAAAATATCCATTAAATTTGAATAGATCCTTTCACATTCATATTCTATGCTTGTTATGAATGTATAAAATGGCAAATAAAATTTTATAAATTTCAAATATTTATAGATATAAAAATATATTTGTATACATCTATGCAAATATAGATTGGATAGTGCATAGATTTTTTTTGGATACCAGAAAAAATAGTTTAGTTATAAATATACCTACACAACAAATTCCAGTGTAGTGGGTGGAGGAAGTCAGAGGTTTTAGTAACATGGAATGTAGCTACAATATTGAATAAGTAGAATATTGTAGCATTTCACTAGGGGAAGAAATAAATTAGATCACGATTCCATAGACAGTGCCTAGCATGAACTGTTTTTATTTCTCTAATGACAAATAATGGCTACCTTTGAATCAGTATTAATAAAATATAAACATGCAGACCAGACTCCCAAAGATGCTTTTCCAAAAGGCAACTGGACTTTTTTGAAAAGTGAAATATTTCACTTTTCATCCAAGAGGCTTCCTCAAGTCTGAGAACAGAAGAAGCTTCTTGCATGAGAAGTGAAATATTTTCAAGGGGAAAAAACCCCAAGAAAGTCCAGTTGCCCTTTGGAAAAATACTTTGGGGACATCCATAATCTGGATGGATGAAAATCTGCAGAGACATGCCATAACCGAGAGTGTTGCCTTACTGTAGTTGTTCCTTTTGTGGTATCTGTACTAGCACATTTACTTGGCTGCTTGAGAAATCTGGCTTATTGCTGTTTTATTTATTTGTTTGTTTGTTTGTTCAATTTATATCCTGATTTGATATATCCTGAAAATTCAAAGCATCACAAACAGAGATCCTCTTCATTTTTTCCTACAACAACACTCCTATAAGGTAGATTGGGCTGATAGAAAACAAGACCCTGTGAATTTTTGTATACATAATTCTGAGATTCCACAGTCCTTGTCCAACATGTTAACCACTAAACCAGGGTTTCCTAAATTTTTTGCATCACACGTCCCTTAAGTGTAATCTTAATGTATGATCAAAAAAACCAGAAATCAAAATGAACACAAGTGAACAATGAAAATCATACAATGAAAAGTTTAAAAATATGGTTTCATTATAACAATGGACACAGTGAAAGTTTCTTCACACCTTCCCTGGACTCTACACTTCTACTCTGCACATCTCCAAGAAAAATACACTCTACACTTTGTGAAACCCTGCCCTAAACACCACTGATTCTTTTCTGCGGGTGCTTTTGTTTACCAAAAGAAATTTGTAAGAGTGGCTTGTTTAACTGGGAGAAGGCAGAGCAACTTAGAAAGGCATTGTTTCCTTGGCCCTTCCACAAGAGAATAAAAGATATGAAAACAAATATACTGTGTCACAACTTGCAATTCTTGTTAGAAAGGGTGAAAGGATAGAAGGAAGAGGGAGTGGAAAAAATCTAGGGCGGAAGTTAGGACACAGTACAAACTACAACTAGGAGGCAATTACTTTTTTCTTCCTTTCTTCCTTTCAACATTGGATAGCACTTTCATTAACACCTGCATTCTTGACAACTTGAAGAAAAGACTGGGGAAAGCAGAGGAGCCACTATGAAAGCAAACAAGGGGGGTCCCCTCCTTATTATAAGTGCAGGTGAGTGAGTCATGCTACTTTCCCACTATTTAGATCACTTGTAGGAGAGGGACAGGCAGAAGCATTACTTTGTCAGTAAATACTCATACATTTTCTTTAGTAAATCTCTGAAGTTTTACGGTATGATAAATGTCCACTTGTTACTGGTTTGTTGTGAATGCCTCTCTGTGAAGAGGTGATGTATCATTAGAAGTAATGGGCTAAAAATAGGAAGGTTACAAATGGGGAACTCTAATATAAACGTGAATGAAATAAGGACAGCGTACACTAAAAGCTTCATACAGAAGTTGAGGCCAGGGTAAATATCTATTAGCCTTCTGTTGCAAATTTGTTACTTTTCTACCCTTACTTAACCTTACCTTGTTTTCTTTTTTTTTCAAATATGGCATGGAATATGGCTTTATGTGTATCTAGTGTTACAAATTTCCTGGAAATATTTCTAGGGACAAGCAATATAAATCTCTTTCTGGCTGTTGCTCTTCCTGGAAGTTACATTTTTAATGTTTTTGTTTTTGGATATGTTCTCTGTATTATAGTTGCTATAATGTGAAACAATAACTGTTTATATAGAACTAATTAAAATGGAAACAAAAACTAGTAAGGTTACTCTAGTATATTGCCTTGCCAAAGGTTTAATTTTCTCAATTTGTTACTCTGTACTGATATGGGGAAAAGAATAATTTGAAATGCTTTCCTAAATATGTATTGTCTTGCTATTTTTCTATATTATAAGAGGAATTTAGAGAGAACTCTAACATTAGAAAAAGAGATACTTTAAAATCATTCTTCATTGTAGCTTGGTTTACCCTAACCAGTATGTGAAGCCTCATTAGTAGAAAATGCATAATCCTAATCATGATATTGCCTTTCGAATTTTGATTTGTTATCTTTCCTCTCATGGCCAATATGACTATTACTTATTTCTGAGAAAATGTGATTCTTATTGTTAAAAAATGTCCCCAAGTGTGGTTTGGATGAAATGAGATATTAGTATAAACATAAAACTGCTTTATAATCAAGCAGAGCACATGATCTTGTTGTATTCAGGTCTTTTCCTGTGTAAGATTGAGATTGTCTTGGCAACGTTTTGGCGAGGTGTCACTCGCCATCTTCAGGCTGGTGTTTTCGGCTTAAAGCTTTGTATGCATGCATGCATGCATGCATGTATCTGAAATTACTTTGTTCATCATGGGATAGATAGGTTTATCAATCCAAGAATGTGCTAGATACAGCTAATTTGGAATTGATTAAGTTCTTGTCAATTTCAAGCAGCTGTCCATGAGACCTAGAAGGTACTAATTAGCTAATAAAGATGACAAAGTGGAGTTTTTCACTTGCGGTTAGCACCTATTAAGGAAGTGCGATTTCACAATGAAAAGCTTGTAAAAATAGTATGTATCACTTCTGTGATACACTGTAGACACTCAAAAAGCTGAACAATATTTCATTTTAAGGCTATGTCTTCCAATTAAAAGAACAAAAGGAGGACCTTAGAGCATTCAGAATACTCTTCCTTCCTTCCTTAAGTTATCATCTTTTTAGCGCAGGCAATATAGACCAAAGGTTTTGTGGATTTTGTGCAAGTTGACAAGGGCAGTAGGTTTCTTGGCACCAGACTTTTCTAACTGCTGGCACGTTTTGGGTGTCTCTGGCAGAAAAACATCATTTTTAATCCTGCTATCGGAGATTGGTTAACTGGAAATGTGAAAGACTGAACTTAAATATTTACTATTAATTACACTGTTGAGGTCTGGCTTGCTTATTATGATAAATTTGTGCTGATTTGATATTTGATTGTGGGGTTTACTGGCTCCTAGTCTGTTCTATTAAGAAGAATATCTTGGTTGAGAACAACTTTTCCCCCAATTCCACCTTTCTCTTCTTTTTCCCCCCTTTTTTCCTTTTCTTCTTTGTTTTGTTTAATTAAATGAAGACAAGTGTCAGCTTCTGCCTTGCTGTTGCTTCAGCTGCCATGAAACGGGGGGGGAGGGCTGGTATTTGGGAGGGGTTAATTGATGTGCTGGAGGAATCTTCTAGGATGTTCGAGATGCTCGGATGGCGCATGCGTGAGAGCTTCCCGCGTAGATTAACGGCCTCGACATTCCATCTTCGTGATGCCTGTTTGAAGTTATCTCACAACCTGACACCTTGCTATTTAAATTCCCTGGTCACAGCTCAGATGAGCTCCCAAAGACTTAAGGGCGGCTGCTCCCACATAGCTGGCACACTTTGCAAGATATCCGTGACCTGGGGTGAAAAACAGGTGATGTGACATTTAGCTATTTAGCATAAAAGATTTAGGGGGCTGTGGGATTTCCGGTTTGGGCGGGGGCCTGAGAGGAGTTGTTGTTAACAGCTCTGGATCCTTGGCTGTGTTAAGCTGTCTAAACAGTATCTATCAACTGTTT